CGAAAGATAATTTAATCGCGTGCTATGTAACGAAACGCGATTTTCCTTGGCCCACTGTGTCAACAAATTCAATTTGCCAAACAGTTTAGACAGAATAAATGTGATGTAATCAATGCTAGCAACTGTATAGCAGAAAGTGATCATTGCTCATGGACAGCAGCTTATGCCGTAGGATTTATTCGCAGCTTATATAGCAAAGATTTAAGATCCTTGGGATCATGAACAACGCCATGCAAAAATTCTCACTGAAGAGTCATTGTTTGAAGGTTTTCCAAGAAATCATTCTTCATATACCAGTTGCATACAATCCCGGACGTTTCGGCTTATACGTGATCAGTCATCAGGGGGTGACATCAGTAACTTTCATAATGACAACATTTCTTAAAAACGCTGTCAAGAATATTATGCCCATTACATTGATGATATGACTATTTGGCAAGCACGATCCCGGAACACAGGAATATGGTTTAAACGTCTTTATGCGAAATGAGCAGATGAAAATTTTCGCGATAAAGCACGCTTAAGGAATTCAACAAGAGTACCGCTACATCGTGAATGGACTTTCTTGCAGATGGTTTACCACCCTGAAATGTAGGATTGTTGCGGATCTTACTCTGGATTGAATAGTGATTGCGCACTCATATATATATGTATATACAATGAATGAAAAAAATGTATATATGTGTATATCTACGAAATTTAAGTGAAAACCCCTGTCCGATTCCACTTTGAACTTCTTCAGAGGACATACCCTATACTTCAATTAATTAATTAGTCCAAGTAATACTTTTGAGACAGCAAAATAATTTTTTCATTAATAACGAATTCATGTGCACTGCACATGGTTTTTAAAGCTTGAAGAATCTATCTGAGATTGTTTTCTTATCATTATTATCAACATCTACTCATGCGTTTCTATAATTAATATTTTCTCCTTTAAACTTTCACTGTACAGTTAATTAACTATTTCTAATCGCCTTCTGCTTATTTACTGCACCTATTGATCTTGTTCAATATTTAACTGTATATTGTCATATCCCAGAAGAAGAACTTGGTTCCGAAGCAAAAACGTTGAAATTAATGCCCTTCTTCCACATACAAGAGCAAACCACTGTTGTTAACAGCTGCGTGTCACATTTCTTTGTCACGACTTACATAACTTTGCCGTACTGAAAACGTGCTAATATTAGTGGAGATATAGACGGATTCATCGCCTGGCGAAGGCTAATTACTACCAACAGAATTTGCTCTATTTTGAAGGCGCTCTAGCACCAATAGTAGAAAATATTACTACAGTCAATATAGTAAAAGATAGTCATTTTGTTAAACGGGTAAAACTAGCACGTTGCAAAACAGTGTATAGAAAGGAGAAAGGCACAGAAATAAAGCAGCGAATTAAAGCAAATTAGTTGAAGCAGCAAATTAAAAAATATATAGCAAAAGATTATATTTGAAAGAATGAAAAGATGCTAAGGATTAATATTATGTACATGCGAATCAACCCGTTATTCGAAATGTAGTTGAACGATGCTGTTTGGTCCCAAGATACTGCTTTTATGCATCATTTTTCTCATCACCACTGGTGAAGATGCATGCGTGTTATGTGCCAGTGTGGAACATAAGCAAGTAGATTTGATCTGATCTGAAAATGCTAGAAATGGACACCGCCTGTGAGCATAATAATCACCCATCGCATCTCTGCATATGCGCATCACAGATACAGCGCTCCCTTGATTTTAGCGGTCCATCGGACCGTTGAAGCAGAACACGGTTCTATATTTTACAACACGTGGAGCCAGTAAACGAAAGTTGATGCAGTTGCAATAATTCGGATTACAGACCTTCATTAGCAGAGAGTTTATGATTTGATTGATGAGGGTAACGAGTGCTGTCTGTGAATTGCGACAGGGAGGCAGAAGTTAACTTAGAAATAGAATAAGGTAAAATTCTGTCGCACAGCGAAGCAGAACTGTGCTCCTTGATCCTTGAAGCTGAACTTGTAGCAAAGTAGAGCTATTCGCAGAGGCCATTGCTTACTTCTTACTTGTCCCATTAGAACTGTCTATAAAAGTTTCTTCTCCTTCCAATTTGCTTCTTTTCGAACTACCCTTTTGGAATTATATTTGACGACGC